GGAATGCCAGGGTTCAAGGTAAGAAAAATATCACGTGCAGATACAAGGGTCTGTTTCCCAAAACAAATACCACTACGAACCCCTGGGATTAAACTGTTCTATATGCAGTACACGTCTCCTGTAGGCTCCATACCTCTCCAAACCATGCATTTGCCTGGGTTTATGCTGTCGAAACAGAAAACCCCTAATAAATATGAGACAAGAGGAGGATGAAGGACCTGATCCTGCCCTCTGCACGCTGTTCCCACACTCACAGCAATAGCCGCTCTGCCACTGAACGCAATCCTGCAAAGTGCCAGCAAAGCGTGCCAGCACTTTCCCCCCACCTTCAGCAAGGGGCTTTGCGTCCTTCGGGGAACTGCCTGCACTTATGGGCGCGTTGCTTTGTGGCTCCATCCCTTGCAGGATTGCAACCTTTGTCAGATGGAAGATTTAACCGCTGTTTTTTGACTGCGGCCATTTATTCCTACAAATTAAATTTAACCCTTTGCATAGGGTGAGCATAAAGGTTAAAACACCACGCAAGCCTTGCAAGGCGCAGCTGGTGAACAGGAGCGAGCAGAGAGCAGTGGTTCAGAGCTGCCTCCAGAACGACGTGCTGCCTTTTTAGACTTTAGAGAGCTGTAAAAATCTCACCAGTTCTTAAATTGTGCTCACAGGCCCTGTACACACAGAGGTACACATTTTACTGTAGCAAGACATAACTTATGTGATTAGATACAATTTAATTGTCATTTTATACCCAGTGTAGCACCAGGCAGCTTTCTGTTTATGTTGTTTGATTCTGGTACATAAATTTTAGGTTGCAACCCTCAGGAAACCTCGCTCAGCGGGTAAACATCTCCTTCTCTTCCCCTCTGTGATTCACATGAATTCTGTGCAGTAGGTTACACTCCAGCAGTGAGCTGAAGTAGTAAGTTACTCGAGATTTTTTTAGCAGGATTTAGCAGAAGTTGGCAATGGGTGGAACATCTCCTGGGAGATGCCCTCAATTCCTCATGAACTGACCTTTTGCAGGTCTGTTTTGGTCTCTGAGCTGAGTCGTAAATATCGTTAGAAATACACAATGTTTAGGGTATAACTATTTAAAATTCATAGCTTATGAAATGGAAAAACCTGTGAAGGTCTCCAGTTATGATGCAAATGATGCACAGGACCTTTTGCATGATAAGGAATAACATCTGCCATGGCTGAAATTAGTCTGGGTCTCTCCCACAATAATAGGAAGGGAGCCAAAAAGCAGACTGAATCTGAGTTTATATAAAAGATTTCAGTGGGACATGGTTTTCTTTGCAAGCTGGATGATGCAGACGTTGAAGATGACTTAAACAAAAAGGGAGGTTAAAGAGACAGAATGGGGTTTGCAGAAGCATCTCAGCCCCATTTTCAAAAGCGATGGGAACTGAGTTCCGGTCCCTGACCTGTAATTGAGAATTGCATCCGGAGACCTGTAGCTTAGTCTTGCCGCAAGTCGCTCTTGAAAACCAAATCTGGGCATTTCCTGAAACTAAATCAATTCTGACACAATGATACCTAACACAGGAATGGTGCATGGCTAATTAACCCCAGAAGTGACCTCCATTTTCCCAGTAAGTTGTTTGTGTTATGTGGGTTTAGATCTTACAGCTCTCTCACAAACTTTAAATTTTGAAACAAGACCGTAGGGGAATGTGAATAATTGGAGCTCTTATTTCTAGGGACACACTGGTCACAAAGGAGAACCTGGTGAAATAGGAAAAGAAGGAGAAAAGGTAAACTTCAATTTAAGGGGGGTAGGGGAGGATTTTTCTCTTTAAAAGCACCATAATAAATAGTTTCATCAAGAAGACAGGGAGAAATGAGGCAATTGGCTGAACAGCAAGAAGTTACTGTGACTGAAGTGCATGGGCTTCCATTGCTCTGCATGTATGACTGTGTGCTAATACTTCAAGAAAATTCATCTTCCCAATAATGATAATGTTAAGATCAGTTCGATAAGTTAACACCTATTGTTTCACACGCAGGGATGTCAGCTCAGGAAAAAAGTCCTGCATTAATCACTCAGGTAAATTCCTGACTGATCAAGTGTTCTTGCACATGGAAGAAATTGCCTATAAAGTAGAAGCCAATTCTGAAGCAAAAATCTGAGTGGGAGGGAGCTCAAGGAGAAGCAAGATGGGAAGGTCCCTGGCTTTGGGTTGGCAGAGGCTCATGCTGTCTCGCCCTTTGTCTAATTATTTTTTCTCTCCCAGGGCAACCCTGGCCCTCCCGGTCCTCCGGGCATTCCCGGCAGTGTTGGCCTGCAGGTAACACCTACTCTTCAGACCGGTTCCCATGACCTTTTTACTGCGAAACTCAGTGGTGCCGTCGATCATTTTGCGTTACACAAACAGCTCTTGCCTCTGCATAATAACAGCTGTGGAAGTTGATGCTGGTAAAAAACCAAATTCACTGAGTTTTAATTCAGGTCCTGCTTTTGGTACCTCACCTCGGATGAGACGTCCAAGTGATAGCCACTGTCTCACTGGTGCTCCAGTAGAGCCCTGGACACCTTTTGGGTGGACCTGAGGCTGAGCTCTGGGCTGGCTTAACAGCCTGGCGGGTGGGCTGGGGAGAGCAGGCACTCTGAGCGCATGTCCGCGTGGGGGGTCGCCAGTATCACTTGCTCAGAGGTCGTCACCGAAGGGGAAGATGTCTTGTTTGTGCATCAGAAGGCTGAGCTTTCTGCCGCTCTTCACTGTTTCTTAATGTTTTCTGTGTTGATGAGTTGCTACATCATGCTTTTCTGCCATTTCATGTTTAACAGTGATTGGGTTTTAACTGATTTGTTTTCTTAATTAGGGCCCAAGAGGACTAAGAGGTCTCCCTGGTCCAATGGGTCCGGCAGGCGAGAGAGTAAGAAAAACCTTCTGATTTTTTTCTTTTCCCCCTCCACCACCAGTTTTTCTTGTGCAAGGTCCAGGTGGCATTTGTCCTTACTGAAGACCACTGGGGAGCCTGTAAAAATGCAAAGTGCAGGCTCTTCCCTGCACCCCCTCCAAGGAGAACAACCTTCCAAAGGCAGGAGGAGTCTACATACATGAGGGATTGACAGGATCAGGCCCAGTGTTGATGTAAGCATTCAGACAAGAAGTCCCTGCAGGACTGACAATGCTAAAGAATCTTGCAAAAACACGGAGAAATGTTTCATGAACATTTCACTTTCTGTTCTGTCTCTTTACAAGAAAAAGCTAAAGAATCAGTGGTGGACAAAGATTTTCAGGACATGAAAAGTCTGCTCAGTGAGAACAGGGTCAATCTCTGGCTCGTTGGGGCTTTGGACTTTTGCCAAGGTCCCTTGCCCATTGTCCTAGAGGCTGAATGGTTTTGAATTTGATAAAGTCATGCATTTAGTTAGGAACAAGTGTGTTATCAAGGTATCGAGGCCGTGAATGATATCAGTGTATCACGGAGACAATGGTGGGGAGATCCAGAGTAAAAACCTGCTTATTCAGAAGGGGATCTTTTGCAAGACTGAATTGCAAGCTAGCAAGAACTACGGGGTATTTTTCCAGGGCTTTGTGTGTTTTCTTAGATTGCTGTATAAGGTGGGGGTACTCTTACTTCATCCTCTGCCAACCACGGCATTACAATGATGTATTATTCTCTGCAGGGTGACATCGGTTTCAGAGGGCCACCTGGAATCCCAGGACCTCCAGGGAAAGCTGTATGTATCTACTTCTCAGCATCTCTGTGGCCTTGCTTTCCACAGCCAAAGCCTAAAGTTTATCCCACCTGCACTAAACCCTTTGCTGCCAGTGAACAGAGGGAGCGCACTGACCATCTCCATCAGATGATTCCCTTTGCCTTTTTCCCTCCGGTTAAAGCAATGTTATTTCACCTGACCCAGATCTCATGATGTCTTTCCCTCAGTCGTGCCCCATGCCAGAATAAGTTCACCCCATTTCCATTGCTCTCTGTCCTTCACTGCTCTTCCCTGAGCATCAGCAGCTGGGAGCAAGGACTTGAGAGGGGCATCTGTGGTGTTCTTGGGAAGGAGAGTTTTGAGGAGAAATCAGTAGGTGCTATTCTGAGCTTACATCCTGTAAGCCTGGTCTATTCCCAAGTGCTCACAGCTCGCAAGAACTTCTGCTCAAACAGAAATAGCTGTGTATTGAAGATGCGGTCCTCATCCTTTTGCAGAGCTCTGGGGTGAAGTGTAGGAGAACACGGAACCTGCACGCTTACCTGTGGGCAGAGCCCTGTACCCTCCCTGTGCCCAAATATGAGACCAGAGCTGCATCTGCAGCATTATGGCCTCTCTAAGAGCATTTTCCACTGGCCTGCCACCCAGTCTCTCCTTAGTGTGGATGATGTGACATTCACTTCATAGCAGACACCTTCGCCTGTCTACACCAGCCAACACACCACAACCTGCATTGACCCCCAAACCCTCTGGGGATCCCTCCCTAGTCTTTGCAATAATAGAAGAAATTAATCTGAACTAAAATAAAATGAGGTGCTTACTGTCCACCAAACATTTAATTATGCCAAGCAGGATCCAGACAGTAAATATTAAAGTTTTTCGCCTACTCTGTTTCTGATTAAAGAAAATGCTTCATTAAATGAAGGGTAAGATGGTCTCTGGCCCGAGGGATTGTTGGCAGAGTCCCTGCTGCAGTTCATCTGTGTGTCAGGAATTACAGAGTGTAACTGAGAAAGTACAGCCGAGCTCCCAGGGGAATGTGTGCGCTCATGTCTCTGCTAACACCAGCAAACAGCACAAAAAACCCTTCATCATTTACACCCTTGAAACATTAGTCTTCGTCACTGTGCGATGAAGACGCTTAATGGCTTTTCCTCCTCTGTCATAGGGAGACCAAGGAAACAAAGGACCTCAAGGATTCAGGGGGCCCAAAGGCGATACTGTAAGTGCAGTAAAACACCCGTCTGCTCAAATTTTGGACATGACATTCAAAGGAGTCTGTTTGACAGGTTTATTACAGCTTGTCCCCACCTTGGTTTATTTGAAAGGGAGGTGAAAGTGATGAAAGTATTCATCTCAAAAATGAGATGTTTAAGTCTTTTTAAAGATGCCTAAGTGCTTCTTACAGCCTAGAGCACAGGGATCAGGTCTTGCATCTCCATCCCTTGAAACGATTAAGAATTTTCCCAGATGCTGCAGCCAGCATTAGATCAGTTTTCTGGTGTGTCCTAAAAGAACCACCATACCTAGAAGAACAGGACAGGAGCCAGCGCAAACTGAATGAAGTGTCCCTACAGAGTTTGAATATTATTTTTGTTGACTGATTGTTCTTAAGGGTTGTGTCCTAGATAACGCAGGATTTATTGTTGATTTCTAGGGTAGACCTGGACCAAAAGGAAACCCAGGGGCTCGTGGACTCATAGGAGAACCTGTAAGTCAATTAAATAGGGTGCAGGTCTCACTGTTGTCTTGCTTGCAGATGATGAGATAAAACACAATAGGAAAAAACTTGCATCTTACAGTCTTTGCTATCAAACTTCTGCTCTGTGGGTCTCTGTAACCTTCAGTGTAATCCCAGTTGGACTAAACCCTAGCTGTACTGCTGTTAATGAAAAATCTCCCTGTACAACTGGAGCCAGACCCATTGCCAAAAGGTTCTTTGATGTGAATGTATTTTGCAAACCACAGAGTCTCCTCATAACCTTAACCTACGTTCTGCATGGTTGCAGGGCATGCCTGGCAAGGATGGACGGGATGGAGCTCCTGGACTCGATGGTGAGAAGGTTTGTAAAGTCCTACTTAAACACTGCAGGAAAGATTTCTGTTAGCGTCCCATGTGTGTTGCAAAGCTGCTGATGCTTGTCAAGAAAGAGCATGGCTGGCAAGCTTTTGCTTCTAAAGAGTTTTCCAATAGCGTAACTAGTGAAGAAAAGTGAAGTTGTTTCTATTAATTAATCCCAAGGAAATTCCCTAAAGAAAGAAGAGGCGCATATGGGCCATGCGCATATGATCTAAACTCAGCTATGTCCCTATACTCAGTGGTTCCTGTTGGCTGCCTCTAGGCCTTCAGAGACGCCTTTTCAGAGCTGTTGACGGAGACATCTGTTTATTTTAATTGTCTGTAGACAAAGTGCTGTCGGGTACTAGTTGCCTGGTTTTTGAACGGTGATCCCGCAGGAATGTGGGACCATGTGCTGCCGAGGAAGGCTGGGGGCTGCAGGGGGACTAGGGAAACACCTGGGAGCCCTGGGCACCCCGTTTCCAGTGGGTGCCCACCTCCTGTAGAGCAACAGGCTCTGGGTCCTGCACATGTAGGGAGGGAGAAGATTACAAATGCCTGTTTGGGAATGTGTCCCCTACCTGTATCAGACCATTTTCCAGTAGCAGAGGGTCTCTCCTAACCTCTCGATATCCACAGGGTGATGCAGCTCGCGTGGGTGCTCCTGGAGAGAAGGGGCCAAACGGACTGCCTGTGAGTATGGCAGCAGCACCCGTCACCCTCGGGGCGGTACGGCAGCTGGGCTGTACAGAGATCGTTCCCGGGGAGAGGGGAGGTTCGTTTTGTGCGTTGTCTCACAAGGGGCCCCATTTAAGGCAAGAGGAAATGCTCTTTTCCCACCATGCCAACAGGGGAGCAGAACAGAGAACATCTGGAGTAGCACCAAATACTAATACAGTAATACCCTGGCTTTTGGCCACTCTGGCTCTGTTTAAAATCTAAATTTGAGAGGGATTTTCTCTTTCACATCCCAGTGACGTGCATCCCTTATGCAGGGAGGTAAGATCTGGGATACAAATGACCATAATTCAACAATAGCCTGAACTCTGTCCCTGGCTTAGTAGTGTTCGTTGGCAAAACGTTTCATCTCTCCAGTCTTCCAACTGTTTAAATAGAGGTAAAGTATTCCTTTCTTCCTGTCTTACAGAATATTTTGAACACCCCTGGAGAGAGGTTTCTGCTGTGCAAAATGTTGCTGCTGCTGCACTATTTGTATATTCCTCCTCTTTGCTCTAATTGTCAAGGATTAGTGTACGCAGAGCTGCTAGTGCAGTGAACAAGAGGGAAATTGAAGCTATAATTTTCATGGTGAAAGCTATGAAATGTAAATCCTCCGTTGCTTCAAGCAAACATTGCTCCTTGTATGTCAAATCAGACCAGAATAACAAATTAAATCCACTTCTTCTGACATTGCTTTAATATTTTTTTTCAGGGACTGCCTGGAAGAGCAGGTATTAAAGGCTCAAAGGGTGAACCAGTAAGTGAATCTCTCTAATGATGGGTTCTGGTGTGGAAGCTACTGAATTTGTCATGGCAAGGCTTTTCAGCTTTTGGGGATTGGTGGGGGGTAGACCCTGGGAGGACTTACCCCGAAGTGATGGTGTCAGCGTTCCTGCCAGGGCTGGGTTCCCCTGGCAGGGAGGAGCGGGCATTGGGCGTAACGACTGAGATGGCCCTGCTCTTGCTGAGACAGCTCTTGCACCTGGTTCAGTGAAGACATAGCAGATACACAGGAGAGTCATCAGTGGTTTAGTAAACCTCAGAAGGAAGCATTCACCCTTTTGTCAAAGTCCCGAGAGCAGGCTTCATCTTTGGGAATCAAAAGGCTGAGCATCTGCAAGCCGGAGCAGGATTATCTCATCTTGTCTTTTGGAGACTTTCCCCCCACTCAGGAGAAAAGCTCCCGCGGAGCTTTGGATTGGCACCTACCTGTGAGATAAAAGAAAATCTCAGACAGACCAAAGCAGTCCAGCACAAAGCTGGACTGGAAAGTGTCTTTTTTTTGTGTTCCTCCTCTTCCTTTCTGAGTTTCCCCCTCTGCACCTGCATCATTATTCTTGCTAATCCTCAAGCATGAGAGCATGCTGCAGGAAGGCATTTCTCCTTGCATAGAGGTGATGTAGGAATGAATGAAATGGGGTGTCTTGAACATGCCTCCAAAAGAGCATCCCTGTCTCACTGGTCCACTTCAGTCCAAGGTGGGATATGGTGGCACTGCCCTGGGGCTGGCAGCCCTCCCTGCTCACTGGTCCCAGGCCAGGACGTACAGCTCACCCGTTCTTTAAATGCCTGATGTTGAGAGTTTTGTCATCTTGGTCTTAAAACTGTAAAAGTTTAAAGCTGTTTTTATTTCCTGATCCAGGTTTTAACTCCCTCCTCCCTTTGTTGCTCTAGGTAGGACAGAAATGACTCTCTGAAGTTATGCCCTAACTGAGTGCTTGCTTCCTCCTCTGCAGGGCAGTCCTGGAGAGATGGGAGAGGCGGGTCCCTCTGGAGAGCCAGGCATCCCTGTACGTATCCCCATCATTTACACTTACCATGAGCTCTGCTGAGTGTGTTTTAAACCCAGCTGCGAAGCTGGAGCTGGCATGCTGCTTCCCTGCACAAACGAAGCTTTTAGTAACGCAATAGGTGCTGTGCTGCCTGCAACGCGTGCAAGCCCGCGGTGATGAGCACTCCCAGGCAGCCCCACGCTTGCGTGGAGCTACCCAGCGAGCGCGATGCGAGCCGGCCGGGCGGGCGCCTCCGTGCAGAGATGCTATGCTGCAGCAGAGGTCGAAGCCCACCGAGGCAGGCGGTGTGACCTGACGGATGGGGCAGGGAGTTTGGGATTGAAATAGCCTGGGGTCCAGGAATACATTCCAGCTCAGCAGTGGATTGGGAAGGGTGGATTCGTGGTTCCTAAATGGCGCGGCTGACTTTGGTGTTATTGCCAGGGCGATGTTGGTATTCCTGGTGAGAGAGGTCTGCCGGGACCCAGAGGAGCAACTGTAAGTACAATGCTGCTTGTAAATCAAATAGATACCAAAATCGAGTTCAGTACCTGGGATTACTCTCTGTCTAAAATAAAAGGCCACGTTCTCTCTTGGTATTGTCTTTGGGGAGTTTCAGCAGCAGAGGAATTACTCCCCCGTAAGTGAGTCAGATCCTGCTCTCACTGACAGCTCTGTGCAAATGCAAAGTGATTCCTCCCATTTCGTTTGGCAAAGAAAGCTGCAGCTGTCCAAGAGGTTTGTGGAGCTGCTGCTGCAGTCAGGCAGGAGAGACTGGACAGCCAGCAATTCCCTGATTAGGCAGTAATAATAAGGTTCAGCTTGTGCTGAATGTGAGTCATTAATGAAGCAAAACTGTTAAGCTATTGCAACGTACGTTGCCACCAGCACATGAAACATGAAATCCTTCCCATTCCTGTATCGTTTTCCTTGGAGCAGCAGAGGTTCACTGCAAAACCTGAAGCCGTACAAGCAACAAAACTGGAAAGGCTGCACATTGTCATGGTGAATGACAGGGGCTTGGAAAGTGTTAAAAAGTTTGTGGACCTGTTGGGAATCTCCTGCCTTTCTTGCATATAGTTGCATGCTTTTCCCAACTGCTTGAAAATGCCCCAAAGTTCACAACCATACGGTGGGTGCAACACCGGAACAGTTTTCAGGTGGGGAATCTGGTCACACATTTCCTTCTCCCACCCAGTACTGCAGCAGCATTATCTTGCTGGGAGCTTGTAGGTGTGAGCCCCTAGGAAACAAAACCCCCCCCACAGCTCTAGCAGTTTTCACTTTTACTCTGTGAACTGAAAACTTTTTGAAACTTCTGGGTTAGAAAGCACTGAGGTCCTCAGTGGAGCAGCTTGTTCCTGCTTTCGCTGCATTCTCTGCATCATCTCAGAGCCTGAGAAATAAAAAGCTGCAGGAGTTGCAACGCAAACCTGAAAATAACTGCATGGCTGCCTGTTGCTACAGCAGAGATAGTAAATGATATCAGGATGATAAAAACTGATTTTGTTCACACTACTGAAAATGCTAGGATACCTTCTGTTTTGTCACCCCCCAAATAGTGCTGCCGTTGTGGTTGGACCTCACCTTCCAGTGGTTTTGTTGGACTTTTTTTCTTTTCTTTTTTCCCCCCTCTTAATCTCATTTTGAAATCCAGAAGCCTAAAGCAAGTCTAACATGATTTCTGGTATGTGCCACTTGGAAGAAATTGAACTGTATGATGATTTATTGTTTGTGAGCAGCTGCTCTTTAAACTTCCAAGAAGACGAAAATCAGCCTTAGAAATAAACTGAATTAATAATGTTTGCTTTTATGTCTGCAATTTTTCATCAAAATAGCTTGGCCCACAAAAGGTGTCGTATTATTACAGCCAAAAATCAAATGCAGGAGAGCTAATTGCATTGGTGCAGACTTCTGCCATGGATGCAGCAGCAGACAAACCCGTGTTTATTTCTAACCTGGGTCTCTGATTTCTGATTTGTGTTATTAGAGTCCCAATTTATATGAAATGTAGTTAAGCCCGGGCTATTCTAAGAGAGTTGCAGGATTCATCTAGTGTTGAGACTGTTTGGCTTTATTTATCATAGCATACCAAGGGTTTCTTCCCGTTCAGAGGCTGTCAGGTTCTGTCAGGTCCCACCACTTTTAAAGGCACCAGCACAGCAGAGTCATTTTTGGTGCAATTTAATGTAACTTTCCTAGGGCTCTGTATTTATAACTCTCAAAGTTCCTCACTGAATTACAAGCAGAAAACAGAAGTGGAAACGGTAACCACAAAAACACCTGAGCAGTTCTCAAGCTTTTTGAAGATGATGCTGCTTTGTTTCAGCAGATTGGCTCCTTCTTTTGGGCAAACCCTGGTTTCTGCACAAGGTTGCGGCCGTGCTGATCTTGAGAGCCTGGCAGGGATACGGGCGACTGGTTTAGATCGTACATTGAGTCGCACATCACATGAGGATTTCCTCTTTGTGATGACCAGAAAAAATTACAGGAGACAGGGTGTTCAGATGCCAGGGGGAATTTGTAGGGCTAACAATTAGGGAAAAAATACAGATGCCATTTTATCGCAGGGCACACCTGCACCGCAATCCAGCTGGTTTCTTGGGTACGTTGGACAGTCCGTGCTGACTGATCTTCTGCCTGCGGCGGCCACTTTGAAGTTTATTTGTGTCCCTTAATGCTACAGCCAGCAGAGATGGCTGTGAAAGGAGACAAAGCTGAAGTCCGACCTTGTGACAGAAGTTTGCCCGAGGCATCTATTTCAAGAAGACACTTTACAAAATGGGGTTTAGATGCCTAAATTACTTAGGGTTTTTTTCTCCCAAGATTTTTCTCTCTTATGTGATTTTTCTCAATAGAAAGCAATAGAGACTCCTAATAGTAATGTTCATGTTCTGTCTATGAGCTGGGCTCTTGAAAGCACCAGCACTAACAGCATAAGAGACTGCCTTTTTCTATGTTGCAGGTACAAAGTGTGTCAAAGCAAGCGGATGCAATTGCCATTTTTCATGTCCAAGTGCATGCAGCTGATGTTTTACAGTAGTTTCTTGTAGAACTAGATCAATTAAAAGCATAATATTGGGATAGCAAATCCCCTTTGATGTATATTGGCTATGCTCTATCAGGCTACCACTTTTTGCTGTCATTGATCTTTACTATTCATGAGTATGGTATGTCATTAAGCATTAATATATGCAAATAAGCACTTTTGCTAATAATAACAACAATATTAATAAAGCTCAGTAAACATCAAGCACCACTTTACGGCAGCTCATCAGGTTCTTCAGCAATGCCAGTGGGCAAAGTGTTCGGCCGTACAGAACTGCATGCTCGCTCTCTGTTAGAAGTGAGCCAGTTTAATTGCACAAGTGACTGGCCAGGCCCCGAATTTTCCCCTTACCAAAGCTTGTCTTTCTCTTTTCAGGGCCCACTTGGTCTTCAAGGCCCGATGGGAGCCCCCGGTGTCAGAGGTTTCCAGGTCAGTACGCTGACAAGGGCAGTTCAACGTGCATCGTGTTTTGGCAGGCCACTGTTTTCTGCAAAGCTCTGGCCAAGACAGTTGCATGACGGCAACAAGTGATGGGAAGAAACATCTTTCTGTCTGCAGAAGCAGTTTGACACCTTCATTAACACAGTACAGTAGAAGGAGCACAAGGCCAGATAAGCTGCCTGCTGGAACAATTTATATTTGGTATTTGTTTGCAAAAAAAGGGTTTGAGTTTGACTTACCTAGAGACACCTTAACTTCTTCTCCATCTGGACACTCCCAGCCTGTGTGTCTTCAGTGAACTCCTCTTCCCTCCTGCTGCACTGGGGACTCTCGTATTTCTTCCTCCCCTCTCCAAGGGAGTGTTCACTCTCCCTTCCCCAGCGAAACTGGGTGCTACCTCTGGGAGCATCACTCTGTTGGGAGTCACAGGTGGGATTTTTTTAGCAGAAGACCTGGGCCAGCCAAAGGCTGGAGCACTTTGACCTCAAGTGTGAAACATGGTGGGGCAGAAGTTGGAACGAGCTGTGCCGACCAACGCGAGTGGTGCCGGCAGTCAGCGTGCGGCCCCTGGGTCCTGGGGGGAAGGGGAGAGGAGATCTAAGGCGAATGGCCTTTTTGAACATGTTATGGAGACTGGTGAACTCTGGGGATGTGAAGATATGCAGGGTTTCTTGACACTTTAAGTGTAGCTCTTTCTTTTTTGGTTTCCTAACAGGGTCCCAAAGGTGCCAGTGGGGAGCCTGGCCTTCCTGGTCCAACTGGAATTCGTGGGGAGTTAGGTGACAGGGTAAGGAGACGAGTATTAGTCTGTAACTGATTCCCGTTTGGGAGACGTGAAACTAGAGTGTAACGGGGCCCCAGCCACGGCGTAGCTGGTGTCAGCCCGGCAAACCCAAGCAGGCGAGGTAGACGGTGGGTACGTTGGGTGTCACGGTCCATCCTCTGTGGCTGCTGGGTGCCCAGGACGGACCCTGCGGCAGGTAGCAGGATTCGTGCATCCTGTCTCTCTCCTGTTCCTGTCCTTGTTTCTGTTTCAGTTCAGAAACTCACGCTATTTTTAGATAGGATGGATTGTTTAAAAGAGGCTTTGGGATCCTATCCTAGCCAGAATAGACACTTGTTTTGGGTTTTTTCCCTGCTCTGTGTGCTGTTTTCACCAAAGCCTTGCTCCCCGTGAGCACAGGAGAGCTGATTCACGCATTGTTGTTATTCAGATGCTTGATTAGGGTTTCTGGATTTTTTTAAATTACAGTTTGCTCAGTGATTTTCTTTCTGAACAGCAACATACCTGGGCCCCACACCTCAGAATGAATGCAACTTTTTATTTAAATGAATTCATTCTCATTTAAAAGAAGCCAGCGGGGTAAAGTGAACGACATTTGTTCGGGGCTTGCAGGAGAACAGTAGCCGCGTGTTCTCCAGCTCCCTCGACTCCAGCTTTAAGGTGAAGTTTCTGTGTAAGCAATCGCAGCGGCACCGTGGGGGTTTCACAATGGCTCTTCTGTGCCGGCTCCAGGCGGGTTTAAAAAAGCCTCTTGGAGGGACTCTGAGCCTGGAAGCGTGGAACAGGAGGGTTATTGTGGGGCCGCGGGGTCCTGACTGCATTCAGGGCTTCGCTGCGGTGAAAAAATGTATGTTCAGAGGGGAAGAGGCCCCTGCACAGAGCAGCCTGGTATCCAGACCCGCTCCGAGCAGAGGGAGGGAAAATTTTATACTTAAAGCAAAAAAAAAAACAAAACCAAAAAAAAACCCAAACAAAAAAACCCCTAAAACTCTAGGTTTTATTTCTGGCTCTGAAGTTAAGTGTAATTACTCTAAGATGTAATTGTTGGTTGCTTCTTACCACCCCAGCTCGTTAAGAGCTTTCCCCAGAAAAGCATGCTGTAGCAGGTTTGGATAACGCTGGAGACTTTCCACCTCCACCTATGCAACTGGTACTGAGAGTAACTCCCATCTGCCCACCCAGTCCCACCAGTGTCGGTGACAGCCACGTGCGCCCGCAGTCCGTGCGGGCAGCGACGAGGGCTGTGCCAGCAGTCAGCACTGCGAATTTCCACACTTATTACTGGGCACAAGATTTGGGCTGGGAAGAACCTAAAACCCCAGACCGTGTCTTTATAGCTTAAACGAACAGCCTTTGCTCCTGAGGGTGACGGCGTCTGCCCCGGGGGGGACAACGAGCGCGGCAGGCGCTGCCCGGGGCTTGCTGCTCTGACACCCCAGCCTGCGGGTCCTGACGTGTATGAAGGGGAGAACTGCAAATACGAGATCAATACAATTCCACCGTCCCCGCTGCAGCTAACCCATCGCGCTCTCCTGAAATCAATTGTGGCTTTTTTTTCCTTTGGGGGGGGGGGGGGGAAAATTGCTGCAAGCCTTAGTTAACAAGTATTGATCTGCTTTTTCACAGTCCTTGGGCTGACTGTGGCCAGGAATATAAACCAGGACATCAGGAAGTGTATTTTCGGGCATGAAAAATACAAGAGGTTTAGTGCGTTTGCTGTAAATGTAAAATAGCATTGAGACGATATATAAACCATCTTGTTGGTGTGGGATATTGCGGAGGGGAAGGATTTGACTGTTATTGCTGGCTGAGGTAGCAATAGGCAAGTATTTTTCCTAAGGATTTTTATTATGATCAAATTCCTGAGGATTCTGGATGCTGGCAGCCACCTGGGGCAATGTCTCTCTCGGCTCCATATTGGCATCACTAGATGCTTGGCCAAAAATGTTCGTCGTGTTTAACTGATAGGGTGACATGAACGTGAGGACGGCCAGTGGACGTGGAGCTGGTGGTCCTAAAGTCCTGTCCTTTTTTTTTCTGCTGCTAGGAATTACTACTGCTGCAAACTACAGTTTTGAATCAAAATCTTTTGGGCTAAGCTTTTCTTTAAGGACACGGTCTTTGGTGACTGTGTTTTATTGCCATAAACTTTCATGGAGCCTTGGGACTCTGTGAAGTCGGAGGTATAAATCTAGATGATAATTTTCAGAAAAAAAAAATCACCTTTGCCATCGGCAAAGATAAAATGGGAGTTATAAATAGCTGTAGCTATTCTTGCATTTCCACATTCCATTGTATGTTTTGCTGAGAATTATTTTTTGTTTAACAGAAATCCCTCCCCCGTTTTTTAACTTATTCAGTGCTTGACTTGAGCAAAATGACATGTCCTTATTATATGTGTTTGTCCTCCTTGAAGATTCTGTTCTGCTGAGCCATCTCCAGGTCTAGTTATTAAAAAAAGATCAGTTTGCAGATGCCAGATTGATGAATGTGCTGTAGAAATATTGTTTAAAAATGTAAAATGGTTGAATTTCCCATGTAGATTTTGCAGTAGAGAAAAAAATCTAGGGTTCTCCTGAACTTCTTGTGGGCTCTGCTGTATGGACCTAAAGTCACGAATAGGGCTGAAAATGTCTCATGTCCTCTCCTTGAATGCCAGGTAGATAAAGTTGGAGGGATTTTTCAAGTTGCCTGAATTATTCTTAGGGTGATGATCAGTTCATCCTCTAAATGTATTTTATTCCTGTGGCCCTGTTGTTCTGTGAATCTGAGGAGCACCTAACTCTAAATCCCCAGGAAAACTGACAGTCTAATAAAGCCTTGAAAAACCATTCTGACTTTTTGCCCTTGCGGTACAAAAATGTTCCTGTCCCTTTTATACCATGAGTAAATTCAATCTGCTTCTCACGTCTTCAGGTGCGAAAGGCAGAGATCAATCGCCCAGCAGTCTCATCCTGGACCTTGTCCTTTAATTTGTGAATTTGTAAAATTGCTGTTTCGGTCATGATAGTGAGATGACAATAATGAAAAACAGAGGGGCAGAAGCAAAACAGAGTTCCCGCCCCTGGGATGGATGTGAAAGATGACTTTTGTGAAACAGGTTTTAAAGACTAGGATTAAAAGTACAGAATTCGTTTTAGTTTTATTCAGGAAATTGAGGAGGATGGTATGAAAAAGGCCAGTGTAGATAACCTGTGCCAGGCAGGTGGGGAGCAATGCATCGCCGAGCCATGTCAAGAAAGTCTCTCTGGTCTGGTTGGGTCATAGAATCACAGAATCATTAAGGTTGGAAAAGACCTCTAAGGTCATCGAGTCTAACCGTCAACCCAACACCCCCATGCCCACTAAACCATGTCCCTAAGCGCCTCATCTACACATTTTTAAATACTTCCAGGGATGGTGACTCCACCACTTCCCTGGGCAGCCTGTTCCGAGGCCTGACCACTCTTTCAGTAAAGAAGTTTTTCCTCATGTCCAGTCTAAACCTCCCTTGGCGCAACTTGAGGCCATTTCCTCTCGTCCTATCGCTTGTTACTTGGGAGCAGAGACCAACCCCCACCTCGCTACAACCTCCTTTCAGGGAGTTGTAGAGCGTGATGAGGTCTCCCCTCAGCCTCCTCTTCTCCAGGCTAAACAGTCCCAGTTCCCTCAGCCGCTCCTCATCAGACTTGTGCTCTAGACCCTTCACCAGGATGAGGACTTGGTGGGCAGAAGACCACCAGGCCTGAGTTGGGAGGTCCTGCCTGGTCTGGCAGCTGCTCTGTGCTGTCACTGGCACGGCAAGAGGCCTGAGAAACTGTCCTACAGCACAAACTGGTGACTGTAGAGAGTGCTACAGAGCTAGTGAGGATGCTTAAAATCTCTTCTTGTGTGTAAGTATGAATGAGATTTGGACCCTCCTCCTTGGCAGTTGGGAGACTAAATTCCCTAATCCCTTGCTGAGTGAGCAAATGTCTGACTGCACCAGGAATTCACAGGAAAATAAGAGTTTGAGCTCATTTGCCTTTTTTCTTTTCCTTATTCTCAGGGTCCTACTGGTGTTCCTGGTCCCAAAGGTAACCAGGTAAGTGATAACTTTCATGCTGTAGTCAGCAGAGGCATTGAAACCGTACCTTAGGTGCAGCCTTTGACAGTGCAAACTGCTTTTCCTCCCTCAAATGAAAATGTTCTGGAGTAGGCACCAACAAAACCCTCTTTGGTCCTGTTTTTCCTGTGTTGGTGAAACAGATGTAGTCTGTTCCAATGGAGACACGTGAAAAAGATGTGATAAAAACGCTAGACTCTGGCTGTATATTTTGTAACCACGAGGCATGCCGTATGTCAGCTCCTCACATCGTAGTCCTCCCGAGTTAATTTTAGAAGCGCAGCTTTTCACTGAACTTCATGTGCCCGATGAAGAGGATTCGTCCTAGCCTTAAAGCTTGGCACCCTAACAGACTATTTTTTACTTTTTGCTGCTTAACTTCCATAGTTGGATTAATCTCAGCGATGAGCTTTCGAGCCAGTTTTCCTAAGATATATGACTTTTATTAATGCATGGCTGTGTTTTTGCAGAAAATGAGTGCTTTTCCAGCAAGCGTTGCTTGTTTTGTTTACCAGTGTGGTCTCCATTTTGTTATTAAGGGAAAGACCAACCTAATCTCCGTTTGTCTTGAAATAGCTTCCTCTCTAAAGCCATAGAGTCACCATAAAACTGTTCATGATCTGCTCTAATTGCCGTGTAATTAGCCAGCTCTGCTGCAGAGCGTTCGGCGCAGGAAGCGCTGCCCGTGCGGCCGGTGGCGGCAGGTTGCAGCGATTCGTGTCGTTCCCGGTGATGCTCGAATTGCACACGCTGCCGTTGGCTTAATGGAGGTGATAAGCAAATTGACGCTCCTTGACATGGCTAGTAAAATTAATGTCACTAGAGCATTAGCCACTCTTACGTTACGGTCCCCAGACAGAGTGGAGAGGGCTGGTCCTCACCAAGTGATGGATCGCTTCTGTTTAAGGGTGGGATGAAGCTGTTCTGCAGATGACTCTTTCTACTGAGGAAGCCTAGAGACGCAGCTACACTGAACATTTAGCTGTCATTGCAAACCCACGTTTTCTGTGAGACCCAGAGCTGGGGAACCTGAAACTTAGATTCCCTGTACGAGGAATGCCAATGCCAGCCTGTGGATGTCTTTCATGGCCACCCCATCAGGGCTCTCATCTGTGTGAATTCAGCCTTTCGTGCAAGTACCAGCTTGTTGCAAAGGGCACCTAGTCCTTTTGCGAGCTGCCTTGCACCACGAGTGCTGTTGTCAGCAGGGGAACAGCTACTGCAGAGTTCACCTTTGGGAAGAGAGAACCTCCTCTTGCTGGAGCAGCTGTATAAGCTGCTAAGTGTCCCCATCTCCCTTAGGAGCTGAAGTTATCCAAGTCTCAGAGTGAGCCTTATTGTCAATAATCTTTGTGCACCAATAGGTGCAGTGTTAATTCTGATATCTCACTTTCAGGGCATTGCTGGAGCAGACGGCCTCCCAGGTGACAAAGGAGAACTGGTAGGTGTCCTTAAATTCAGTAGAATTGACTCCTCAAATAACAGATGGGTCTAGAGAACTATGAATCAAGAACTAATATGGTCAGTCAGAATTAACTGTCCAAGAATTAACTGCTCCAACCCTGCTGGCTGAGAAAAGGAGAAGGCAACCCAAGCCTTTCTGCCACCGTATTCTCGGTGTGCATCAGCTCTCCTCTTGTCTTCAGGAAGCGCCGGATAGCCAGCGTGGCCTTTGCAGAACTGTGGCGTATCAGCACTCACTTGCCATTTTGCTCCTCAGAGCGGTCGACATTGCTCTGTCCAAGGGGGTTTGGTCCATCTCAAGAAGTAGCCGGGTTGCCCGGACCTGCGTTCAGCATCAGTACCCGAGTCTTGGCATCGGAGCCCTCTCCCTGTTGTGCCAGGGCTGAATCTGGTCTCCAGCATCCTGTTGTCATTCGTGGCCCCTTTGCTAGAAAAGCCCATTGGGTGCCATGTCCACGTCATCACGGCTTCCCGGAGCTTGGGAGATTTGACTTCAGATGCACATTTTCTGAATGGATCATTCTTTCTTATTTCCCTTTTCTTTCTAGGGTCCCTTTGGTCCCCCCGGCCAAAAAGGAGAGGTATGTGTCAGACATTGCGGGCTTACGCCCCAAAAGGTTTGGGAGTAAACATGCTTATCGCATCTTTCGATGATGTATCTCCATAAACTATGTTCTGGCGTTGATTCCTAGAAGCATGTTTTTGTCATGGCTATGCTATAAAATCTATGACAGTGACAATTTTCTGTGGCATTCAAAACATTCAAATGTGTTTGATCATTTTGCTGCAGCATGGACTTCTACTGTCATGACCTATATATGTAAAATCACCCGTACAATGTTAAGAAACGTACATGATCAGCCAGATCAGTTAGGGAAACCCAAAGAAAGGCTTAACTAGTCCCTATGAGAAAATAATAGACCATGTCTTCTGTTTTCAGTGTGGGGTTTTTTTTTTCTTTTTCCCTCCCTCTTCATTACAGCCAGGAAAAAGAGGAGAGCTTGGTCCAAAAGGTGTCCAAGGACCTAACGGGACAGCTGGAGTACCAGGGATCCCAGGACATCCAGGGCCCATGGGCCATCAGGGGGAGCAAGGCGTTCCCGGCATCACGGGAAAACCTGGGCCTCCTGTAAGTATTTTCTGCTTCTGGGGCGCAGACAAGGAGTCACTGAAGTGAATAAATGGATTGTGGATTTTGGATGCGTAGTCAAAAAACAAGGTCCTGCATTTGAGCAGGCAGAAGTAGGTAACTGCGCATGCAAGCTAACAGTCTTGCATCAAGACTTTACTAGTGCAAAAAGATTAACAGCTTACAAGCTTCAGAATTAAAATTCCCCAGAACGCATACCTTGGAGAATCAATCTTCTCTCACAATGAACGAACAGATTATCTGTGTCCCTTGGAACGGGCTGTAAGTCACTGTTCTTATTACAAAAGTGAGTTAGAAGTTCGTAATTTAAAAATACAACTCCTATTCACTACTTCAAACGTTAGACCTCTGTCTTGGTCCAGAGCTCATGTTTCATCATTCAGGAAAGACCAAATAAGCCCCAGATTAAAAATCTGGCCTAACGTTAAAATTAATCTCTGCCATTAGTATGACAGAGCTTCTGAATTGAAGCTGTCACCTTTTGAAGAGAGGAAAACACCCACTCCTCTTCATGCGGGATCCTGTGCTTCTTCCTGAGCTGCTGGAATTGTGTTTCATGTCCTGAAGCTTCTGTCAGGGAAGATTATCGATAATGTGGTTTGTATAAAGACAGATTCTTCTGTTAATTGCAGGGCAAAGAGGCCAGTGAACAACATATAAGAGAAGTCTGTGGGGAAATGATAAATGGTGAGTATTACTGAGAGAAAACTGGCTTTAATTACCATGTTTAGCTGAAGATGAGTAGATCCTGAACATAAGATGGCTCCTGAGATTTATTTTTCTGTCTTAATAAGAAAAAATACATTGACCTTTAATGTAAGGAAATTATTCAGGAGGTCACCTTGCTGTCTGAGATGTCTTTCATTTTTCTAAAATTAGTATTTTTAAGTGATCCATCACGGCAACATACAGTGAGTGCTGAAAGCAGCTTTGACACAAGTACCAGGCACTGCCTGGCAAGAGGGTCTGCCCTAACCAGCGTCATTCCCAGCTTCAGCGCCCACCTCCTCTCCCCTCCGCGGCACACCCCACCTCCCTGGAGCTCCCCAGGGGTGTTCTTCTTTCTTTGCAGTTACTGTTCTGCATCTAGGCGTTACGTTCGCCATTTGGGATGAAGTTAAAATGCTGAAAGCTTGTTTCAGAAAACCCATTTTAATTATTTAAGTACAATTTTCTAGAATACTTGACATCTTTTAAAGTGGTTTAGGAAATAGGAAATATCAATGGCTTAAAAACCTGCAGGTTTCTGACCAAAATCTCCCTCTCTGGAGATGTAAAAAAATAAAAAGCCACAGGTGAGCTGAGAGGAGAGATGCAATGTTTAGTTTCCTTCTGCCAGAAGCGGTAAGTGTGTAGGAGTGGCAGGGAGCAGGATCTGCCCACTCTGCTTTACTGACAGACGCTCAGTTTTCAGCTGCTCACTCAGTTAAGCACACTTGGTGGCAGATGACAAACAGCCAAGCAGAGAGTGAAAATGTTGGACGTGCAGTTTTTAATTGTTCTTTTCAGATCAAATTGCACAGTTAGCTGCTAATCTGAGAAAGCCGTTGTCTCCTGGAATGACGGGTCGTCCTGGCCCAGCTGGTCCCCCAGGTCCTCCTGGAGCTACGGGAAGTGTTGGGCATCCTGGTCCTCGTGGTCCCCCTGGATACAGAGGACCAACAGGAGAACTTGGTGATCCTGGTCCCAGAGGTAAGTGAGAATAAACCAACCTGCTCCTCTTTTATGCCTACTGAAATAAATTGCAAACTCGTACTAATTTCAGCAGTGGAGGAGAAAAGATCAGGCCTTGGGCAGCCGATGGAGTTCTAGAGGGCAGTTTTGCATCTTTAGGGATGCAGAGTAAGCAAAGATCCTAGCAGTGGCCTGAGGATTTTGAGTTCCTCTTGGTCTTTCCCCTTCCTGTCCTTGGATCCAGCTGCAGTACACAACTCATTGCTGAAATTGTCTATTTGTGATTAAAGGTGACACTGGCGAAAAGGGAGATAAAGGACCTGTTGGCCAAGGTATTGATGGGCCTGATGGCGATCAAGGACTTCAAGGTAAAGCTGTACAAATAATTTAATAAACCATGACTAAAGTAAAGGCTTAAGAGGGACAGTTCTGCATGTTGTTGGCAGTATGTTATCATCACTTGGTCCCTGTAATCATTACAGGAGGGTTGTCTCCCTGTGGGTACAGCAGTTTCAACAGTAGATCCTAATTAGCACATCCCCTTTTCACAACACTCCTGTCTGGTCCTAAATGTTTTGGAGAATGTTTTTGAGAAAAGGCTGCTGGGACAGCCAGCCTCTTTATTAGTTCTTGGTTTCTTCCACTAATGGCTGTGAAAGGTCAGGAGCTTTTATAGATTGGGAAGTCGGAACCCTTCTTAACTACTCCCACGTGGTTGCCAGTGTCAGAAGGTTGTTCGGTTCAGTGGTACTTCACATCAGTAACTAACTAGTTAACAAGTGGAGTATCAGTGCATTTAAAGGTGTCTAACAGCTGTGATTAAGACAAAAGGATCATGCCTGCTGCCTGTTTCCTGATGGACACGTGTCTTTTTGATGCTCTGCTTAAAGAATGCCCACAGTGAAAGCTACAGCCTGGACTACCAGCTATAGTCCTCCACAATTCAGTTCATGTTTCTGGATCAAACAAGAGAAATCAGGGACAATATTTAATTTTACCAGAAACAAATATAACTTCCTAGTGTAATGATTTTGAGAGACAGTGCTGTTATTGCTCTATAGCTGGTTATAATCCCAGTTCCTGAAGTCATGAATCCTTTATCAGAGGACTCAAAGATTAATTTATGCAAATTAATGAATATCTATTAGAAACTCACAAGAATAGTCTTTATTTTGGTTGCCTATTAAAGCAGCTTTTCTAATTGTGATTACATCTGCACAATGATTAAGTTACAGGCACCAAAAGCAGGCTCTGCATCCATATAATTTCATAAAACCAGAATATTTATACCCATTGTCTTAAATTCTTCCATAAAATAATTGCATTGATCGATAAATGTTTTCTTTTCCACAGCATGTAAAAAGAGGCTATGTTTCACATATTAGATACTGAGAGCACTTGTCCTACTCATGAAACGTAAGGGGATCAACAGTAAATGCAATTCATCACTTACATGAACAAAAAGAATCAGGCACTATCTCTCTATCATAATTAAGACAGGAATGCAGGTTTATAGACCACCTGATATAGCTGTCCCTCAGGGAGAATCGTATTTTACAGTATTTAAGAAAGCTGCAGTAGCTTGGTGTTACAGAAATTAGTGTTTGTGAATTATGTCTGGCATCTGAAGGAAAAAAGAAATTAAAAAAAAATAGCTTGAGTCCATCCAAAGCAGAAATTATTTTTGCCAATAAACAAAGTATGTATTTCATCATGAGCAAATTTTTGAAACTAGACATAGGTATAAAGGAAACTGCTTATCTGTAATGTCAGGGAGATGTTCTGTATCATCCTTCTCTCTATTCTCCTTCCCTTATTCAGAATCTTAACTACAACTAGACTTAAGGGGGTGCAATGAATTGAAGTAGCTGAAGGCCACCCTAAGGAGCAAGCGGGGGGCCAGGAAGGAGCGGCAGATGTATATTGTCACAGTAAGGAAGTGTGAGCTCACACATCCAGGACATCCCTTGAGCAAACTATTCGGGGATGATGTAACATAATTCTGGTTACAAATTACTTGTTATTATTCATGGCATCATACACTAACTGAGGCAGTAGTGAGATGGAATCCAGTTCAAAACAGGTGCATGCAATAACAAAAGCGCAATACTAAACATCCACCTTCAACTGTACCGAGGTAATTCCAGTAAATCCAAAGGTACTCCAAAAAATCCAACGCACATACTCCAGATTCAGGCTAAATTTATTCAACACCTTGTACTCAACAGGCCATAACAAGTCTGATATACAGACACTCAAAGTATTTTAAAAACTCTAAAAGTAACACACACACACATATATATACACACACACATACAGATACTAAAAAAAAAAAAGGAGGGGAAGGAAATAATTCATGTAATCTTTTTCCCCTTCTTGTTTAGGACCACCTGGTGTACCTGGAATTACTAAAAATGGTCGTGATGGTGCTCAGGGTGAACCCGGTCTTCCAGGGGATCCTGGTACTTCTGGTGCTATTGGGGCTCAGGGAACTCCAGGAATATGTGACACGTCGGCTTGCATGGGAGCTGTTGGAGCATCAACTTCCAAAAAATCATAAAAACAACAGTACAAGAAGTGGAGAAGTGACTGAATATTTAAATAAAGAGTGCATTGTAAGAAAACAGACAGAATCCTTCTAGTGATAAATGGACAGATGTTCCTTCTATTATATTAAGTGGAGACTTTGACACAGTTCTATGAAAAAGAAAGCATCAGATGAAAACTTTAGTTAAAAGATGCTTTATGAGTATTTTCTCCTCCCCCCAGTTATTTTCCAGAATTTTTACTGCTAAACAACCTCACCTCTCCTTTCTCCCTTTGTTCAAGAGACCTGCAAGAGGAAGCATTGTTCCTTTTTACCGTCACCCCCTGAACTGTGTACTAAAGATCACAACTTTTCTGTATAAACGTTTAAGCCTTGTCAATTGAATTCCTCAGTGCTGCTCCCACTGACTTCAGTTAGTGCCCAAACCTGCATAAGATACACATTCTCGGGGTATTCAGGCACCTAACTGCTATTTACATCGGTGGAAACTAGGCATATCCCATATTTTAATGTCTTAAGATTCTGGCCTAAGTAAAGACTGTAGCTTATGTATATGCAGTGAATTACCAATTTTCAGATTGCACCTCAAATATTTGCCAAAACTAGTAAATAGTAACCCTCTTGCAATCAAATTCTGCAAAAGGTGTAATGTATATATTTTAATTTACAGGGGAGAATTTTTGTATATTTCCATATGATAATAAAGGAAATTAAGTAACAGCATTTTCACGACCTCTACTTAAGCTATTTGCACAGTAATTGTGAATGAAACCCCAAATAAGAAAGGATGCTCTTTCTAAGTCCAGACAAACACACCTGTATGAACTGTTGTAAAAATAAAAGGAGATTTTTTTTTTAACCTTTTCTTTGTGATGTTGTAAGTGTCATTATACGCATCAAATTAACTCAGCTGAACTCCATTTTCCAGAATTGGTTTTACTAGGATTGTTTGGAAATAAATTGCTGCAAAATTGTCTATATCCGTGATTTAAAACAGTATTTATTTTGGGAGATCTTTTTGTACTTTAAAACCTGCTAGCATCATCTATTTTAAAAAATAAAACCACTCTCAGCTCACACACTATTCTATGTCTGCCCTATATGCTAAAGCTTATGAACAAAGGAGTCATATTAATCTTTAAATATGAAAATAGTTTCTGCATTTAAATAATCTACTGTTTACAATATGCCACTTGGACTAAAGTAACAATACAAGAAACTGTTGGACAGTTGTGTGATAGACATTAAAAATAGTACTGTATTTAAAAAAAAATGCTAACACCATCGTATTACTCTTCAGGACCAAGTATGTTAAAATATATATGGCAAGTGTGAACTTCACAATATCAGCACAGTTTAGAAACTATGCACTTAATTAACCAACATAGCCTTTAACTATTTAATGGAAAAAATGGGCATTATAATATGGTAAGTTTAATTTCTTTTTACACTTGAAGAGTACATTTGCATCTAGTCATTAAAATAACAGGACAGATTGATGTTCTAGAACTATGCCTAACTGTACTGGATCATCTTTTTAAAAAAAAAAAAAAAACAAACCACAACAAAAAAACCCCAAAGCAGAACCATAAACAGAAAAAGAACATTTTTTTTTATAAGGGAAAAAATACTTAGCTGTCATGACATTTTTCTTGTAGCTTCTGGTCCCAAAGCCCCCTTAACAGAGCACTGATTTCTATTGCCAGTAGTTAACTTTCATTTCCATTTTAAATAAAGAATGTTTTCTTTAAAGCTCTATTTATATATTTTTACAAGTTATATTTTGCAATTCATATTCAGCATATAAACGGAGAAAATAAAATACAGTTTGGGCCACTGTTAGCCACACTTGTCATACAATTCAAGGCGGTCAGTTCAGACTACTTGGTCTCCATAGCCATGCGTGTTTTCCTGCACTGGACACGTTACAAATGAGTCTGATCTTGCTATTTTTAGTCTCCTGCCTGTTTTACCACAGAACACAGTCTCAAATTCCTAAAAAAATCAGAATACAAAAAATAAATAACAATTATGTTTAATGTAGATATTTACTTGAGACGTATGTTTTTGTTTCACTAGTGTCTTGGGAAAAAAAAAAACCCACCTTTAATAGGAAGCGCTGAGGAGCCATACCAGTACCTTGACAAGCAGGTTTTCCTATACACACTCCATCTACTCTCTTAAGCTACTTAGCAGAGCCAGAACTACTCTGGGGTGGTTGCATGGGAGCTGCTTATAGGGCATATAAGCCTTTACTACTCTCACCCACTTTGCGATAGCGTGGGCGTGTAGCTGTGTATCCCATCGCTTAACTACCAGTTCATGAAAGCTAGCTAGAAGACAACTCCATGAAACAAGCAGAAAATAGAGAAAATTAAGGAAGGGAGGATGGGGAGGAATGATTGAAGAGGACCTCAATTCTACATTGCTGTCCAGATAGCAGCATGCTCAGGAACCAGGCTAACTTAACCAAAAAAAAAAAAAAAAAAAAAATTTAGATCTGTTTTGAAAACCCTGACTGAGGACAGCCTATGATTTCACACTACTGAACTGAAACTGTTGTGAGGACAGCTATTAAAAAAAAAGCATTTTTAAAAGGAAGTTTCAATGATATAGAGGTCCTTCACAAACAGCATCAAGCAGAAGCACTCCATATACTTTTAGCTATGTTATGACAGCTCTAAAACATTTCACATTTTTATCAAGAACAAAAATGAAATGAGACTTAAAACCTGTTTCAGAGAATCACCATGCCTTTCCTGAATGTACTTCAGAAACGCAGTTGTCCATTGTAAAGTTGTTGCCTTGTCCGTATCAACAGTACAGAATGGGACCAGAAGATTCAGCTCATCGCAACAAATCCGGATTCTGCGCCTACAGGCAAATACAAAAGGTTATCAACCGATGAGCGAGAAGGAAGGAGAAAAAATAAAAAAAGGAAGACTACTCACATGCGCTACAAGCCATGGACTTCTTTTTGTTTGCTACAAGCTTTGTATTTGTATATGAGTCATGTTATATGCAAGTTACCTTTTCTTTATAGAATTGGTTACATGTTTTGAAATCTCGTTTGTTTATAGAGTAAAAAAAACAACAAAGACGACCACAATGAAACATACATATTTTTTTCCCTCTAACAAATGCCAAACCCTCACCGCCTGCATTGCTTTTTCTCGTAGGTAAAACAAAATATGTCAAATTTACATTTTACTCTGGATAACGACAGGAATATTGCAGTATCACTATTTTAGGCTTCAAAACCTTTGTCTTGCCACTCCTCATAGAAATTACCTTCTGTCTCTCTCCATGCGGTTATGTCTTTCTCTTCGCTGAGCGATTCCATCCTGTGTCCCACTTTGCCCCTGCATACTTGAATTTGACTGTGCTGACTGCCAAGGACCCTGGGCAGACGCAGTACTCTGGCTATCATCACGCACATTTTGAATTTCACTAAGAGGTTTGCGATCTATGTTTGTATCTGATGGGCTTATTCGGCTGCAGCTTCTTCTGTTTATCGCTTGCTTGCATAAGGTCTCTTCTTGGAAAAACAAAGAGGAAAAGAAGAACCTATTTATAACCCTCCCACTAATCATGGAATTTTTTTTTTGTTGCTTTATTTATGTGGAATAATCTTTAAACTTTATTGCCAACCTAGATTGACTTCTATAGCAGCGCATGTCCTTCGGAAGCCCTAAGGCACTGCTTGCTGTTTCAAAATCCACCTAGCTGCTACTTGCTCAGAGAACCCATTGAGATCATGCCTGCCTTTGATTAGCATTTGAGGCAGTCCTTTGAATGTTCTTCAATTTGATACTTGACTGGATCTGCTGTATCAGCTTTGGGGTCAAAAAGTGTAGCAAGAAACCAGTTGCTTACTATAGGCCCAGATTTTCAAAGGTACTTTGCAACCTTGGGTTTTCTCATTTCAAGCTAGAAGTGCTAAACAATTTTTAAAGTACAGCTAAAATCATGGGTGTTGAATTTTTTTGGAGAAATCTAGTCCCATATTGCCTATAGCACATCTCAGACATAAAAACCACATCGTATGATTCACTAAAATCATATTCATTCTAAAACCCACACAAATTCAGAAAAAATTGTAGATTTGAAGGCCAAGAGGAAGCTAAGTGAAAAGAAGATAAATGGTTTACCTCCAACTTTAATCCAAACTTCCTCAGGCAACACTTTGTTCATAGCGCCTACTATCTGTTTTGTGGATTCAGTTTCCTGATAGCAGAAAGAGAATGTCTTGGGTATCCCAAGGTCTTGATGTTTGGCAGCTTCCAAAATAGTGCAAGACGTTCCAGAGGTCTGTGAAAACCAAAAAGCAAATACTTAGAGGACTATATACATAAAAAAGAGACTATTTTGATATCTTCATATTAACTTCGTAAGTTTTAGCCCTGTGATTCAATGTGTTGTATCAGAATAAATCCCAATTACTTCTGCACACCAAAACCATAGGATTTTAACAGACTGCTGAATTTTTTTGGGATACCTCTGACATTTCTGAGTGCCATGCTATCATTCTTGCTTCAGAGGTTACTGTGAGTTGGGGGGGCGGGGGGGGGGAATCTTTTTAATCAAAATTAATTAGAAAAAAAAAGGAACCACAGAACACCGTACTAAGTGTCTCCTTCTTGTCTTGCATAGATGAAGCAGCTAGATACACTGATAAACTCAAGAAAAACAGTCCTCCCAGTAAGAAATCTAATGGCCTACTGATCATTACCCGGATGCACGTTATTACAAATGACATAACTGCCACACAATTGGTTTGTGTGGCAAATTACTTTTGACGGTCTTAAAGATTAACATAAGAATAAATAAATTGCATTACAGATCATTCTGACCATTCCCTATTCAAACCAAGTCACACTTTAACATAAACCTTTAGAATTACATTACACCCAAGAGATTAACATTATCAGCATTTGCAATTAGCAGAGTACAACTAGTGGTGAATACGTTATCTACCTGTGCTTGTGAAGGATTAGCACTTCCAGCAGTAGAACATGCGTTCATAGTAAATAAAGGGTATGTGAACTGTAAAGGCGGCGTGGCAGGTGCAGTCTTATTTTTCCCTAATGCAGCACACTTGTTTTCTTGCTGATGAAGAGGAACACCTATCAGTTCTGACGGCTGTCGAATCAATGTTACTAAACTTAAAAAAAAACAAAAAACAAAAAAACAAAAAAAAAACCAACACACAAAACATACCAGACTGACTACTTGAAAATGAGTGCAGAAAAATGTACCGCTACACATACTTCTAGTAACTATCACCAAGAAACCACTTTCATTTACTGTAAACAGAAATCATTTTTATTGCCATATTGCCTACTTCAGGAACAAAAAAAGAAAAAAGATCACCTAAGAAGGTATTTTATTCTGTGCAGGAACAATTCAGCTTTATGCACAATAAAATGTTTTCTCAGCACACTAATACAGTTACAGGGTCAGACTGTAAAACCGTATTTTTGCTCCAAGTTTCCCCCACAGTCAGGCTTCCACGTTGTAACACTAATCAATTGCTCTTAACATTTTGACGAAAAATCTGCTTTGCTTTTAGCAAGTTGCATGTTAAAACAAGGTAATATTCTTCTCTCACCTTTATTTACATTACATGTTGTTATAAAGTTGAAAAATAATCAATTTTGGAACTACATTCTGTACCATTTATGCAATATCAGAGGGGCCTAATCTGAGGTCAGTGGAGTTGCAGCCACACTTGACTGGCACAGTTTAAAAAAGCCCAACCCATCACACTCATGTATTAAAAAAAGTACTGTTCTTAGGTCTCGTGTAGAAAATCAGTTTTGAACTATATGATGATACATAGTTTAACAACAGAAACTAAAATTAATTGCAACACACTTGTTAAGAGTTACTCCAGATTCTTGGGGTTCTTGACATCTGGGGTTTTCTGTCTGGATGCTGTTGAATCTGTCTTCCAACCGAACTCTGACTGCAGATTTAGATCTAGGCTCTGGTGCCAGTGCCGAATTTTCAACAAGTATGTTTTCTTTATTCACCCCAACAAAATTTTCACCATGTTTAACTTTTACTAAACTGTGTCCTGGGACGTCTACAGAGCTACTGCTAGGCGTTTTATCTGTTTGGTTCGAAGGGAGGTTAGACTCGCTAAGTAACATCATTCTGAGCTCCTGAAAGTCAGCATAGCCCAAACGTGGGTTTGAACTTAGCAAATTGCTGTCAGAAGGTAATCCTGACTGACAGATAACTGGGTAAACCGCCTGGTTCCCAGAGTTGTTTGATGAACACCCCTCCTGACTGGTGTTCAGTGAGGTCTGGTGCAGAGGCGGGTCTGCAGAATTACCAGGCGAAGAGAAAGAATTGAGTCTAGCTTCCACTTCACCTTCACTACCTTGTGCCTCCGTATGTGAGTAAAGTATGTGCTGCAGCTGGGTATACTCAATTTCCATCATCTCCACCAGGCTGACGTCTGTGGTGGTGAAGCTAGTATTTTGCTCACCAAAGGAAATGTCACTTGAGCCTCCAGGTCCGACAGCAACCGGAGCAGGATCAGGAACACTAGCTGTGCTTTGAGGAATGGAGGTCTGAGGCTCCTCTGGGGCTGATCCTGACATGACTACAGTAAACCTAATCAGTTACCAATGTCTCTTTCAACAGTAAACCATGAAACCTGCAAAAATTATCAGTACTGTCCATTAAAAAAAAAGGGGGGGGTGGGGGGAAAAAAAATTGCACTTAATACGAGGCAACAAAGCAAGGAACAAGCTCCTGACAGCGAGGTACAGGACAGTCTCACCACGTCTCCCCCCTCCAGCGGCCCCCTCTGAGCCCAGGTGAAACCCTCCCTCCCACTCCAACACAGCTGCTCACAAAAAACGCATTTCACC